TTTTTTTTTTCCAGAACCGGGGATTGAACTCAGGCCACTGCGTTTGCCGGGCAAGTGCTTATTCTATTGAGCCATTTCCCTGGCCCCAGTAGCTCTTTATTATTAGGCAAAGTGAACTTCAATCTAACACTGATCAAAAGAGGCATAGCAGGTCACTACATTTTGGTTAAGGAAACAATTCAAGAGGAAGAGATAAATATAAATGTATATTCACTAAATACTAGCACTTCCAAATTTATAAAAGAAAGTAGCTCTTTAGAAAAGAAAATACAGCTGGGTATGGTACTACATCTCTATAATCCCAGCAGTTTTGAGGCTGAGGCAGGAAAATCCCCAGTTCAAAGCCAGTTTAGACTACATAACAAGACCCTGTCTCAAAAACCAAAACAAATAAAACAGAAAGCAAAATATAATTACATAGATCAAATACATCACCAGGGACCTTTTTCCCTTGGTGTACTCATATCACAAGTTACTTAAATACTGGTTATGAACACTGCCAGGCATATATACTTCTTTAAATCTCTTTGAAAAAACCAAAAAAAAACCCCAAACACCTCTTTGATCTTTTCTTTCTTTAATGTATTTAGTACAGGGTCTCTCACAAGGTCTCACTACACAGATCAGACTTATAGTGATCCTCCTATTTTCAGCCTCCCAAACTCTGGAATTATAGGCATGCGCCACCAAGACCAGTCTCAGTCGCCATCTCAGCATGCCCCAGGGGTGAGGCCAGCAGAGCACTGCGGTCACTGCTGCTTTAGTCCACTGAGCTATCTGGCTGGCCTTTAAACCTCTTTGCTCTTTTTTTTTAGAATAATTTTTTTTTTTTTTTTAACATTTATTTATTTATTGTGTGTGTGTGGCCAGCTCAGCCCTCCAGGGGGCGGGGCTGGCTGGCATGTGGTGCTGGGGGATTGAACTGTGGTCCCTTGTGCTTTGCCAAGCTTGTTCCATGTAGGTGCTTTAGACCACTGAGCCATCTCGCCAGCCCCAACCTCTTTGCTCTTAAAGGCTGCTTCTCAGAAACCGCTGCCAAGCAGGAAGAATCTCAACGTCCTGTATCACCCATGGCACGTATGCCAGACAAGCCTCAGGCAAATCTTCAGACCCAGAGATCATAGGGAGAAGAGAATAGGAAATGGGATAACATGTACAGCAAAATTATATATCTGATAATCGTGTATCTTGTCCTTCCTCAAAGTCCCAGTGACTCCTCTGTCAGTTTTGCTCGCTGCTGAGAGAAAATACCTGACACTCAAAGTGAAAGGGGAAAAAGCTTATTGAGCTCACAGTCTGTAGAGGCTTCAGTCCATTAACTGCTGGTTTTTGAGGCAGGGTGGCTTGGCAGAGGGGCAATACAGAGAAGAATCAATTCACAGCAGCAGAAAATAGCAAAAGCAATCCAGAAAGGGACAAGAGAAGCCTATTTCTGTCCCTTACATTGTACCCAGTCTATTGGAATTAGGACATTGCCAAACCAGTCAGTGGACTGATTTAATAGCTATCCACCCTTAATCCTAGCACCCTTAATCTTCACACTGCACTATGAATCAGTCACATGCTCTAGATTTAGGCACCTCTGAAAAAGCCCCACCTATGGCTGCATAAAGCTTTGGGAGGTACATCTAAACATAAATTGTAACACCCTTTCAACTCCAGATTCAAAAGGCTTCCAACAACTGCCACTGTAGGAAATAATAACTGTAAATTGGCTTATTCCCCTATCTACTGGGGAAAAATGTGTTAAGAGAGACAGCTTGGTAATCCATGTGCTTTATTGCCTTTTACTGAAATACAAGTAAAAGCTCCAAGCATTAAAAAAAAAAGGGAAAGCCAGGGAGATGGCTCAGTGGAGTAAGTGCTTGCCTGGCAAGCGCAGGGGCCTGAGTTCAATCCCCGATTCCACAAAAAAAAAAAAACAAAAGAATGAGTATTTTGGGGCTGGTGAGATGGCTCACTAGTCTAAAGCACCTACTTGGAAAAAGCTTGGCAAAGCACAGGGACCACGGTTCAATCCCCCAGCACCACATGTCAGCCAGCCCCGCCCCCTGGTGGGCTGAGCTGGACACCCCCCCCACACACACATAAAAAAAAAAAAAATTTAAAAAAAAAAGAGATCATGCAGTTGTTTCCACGCTCCATTATCAGTCCTTCTCTCATCTTGCTGTACACACTGTCCCCACATCAGAAGGTGTATGGGCCTTATCCCAGCAGCCAGCAAATCGCTGTCCCAGCAGCCACAACATTCTCACTGGCTTCAACTCTTCAAACTATCATACTGACCAAGAACCAGGCTGTTAAAAGACTTTTTGAAATTAAAATTTTCCCTCAATTATTAAAAACAGTATACAATTCAATGAGTGTTAAAACAAAAATGAAGTCCTAAGTGTTCCCAAGTATTTTTTGCTTTCCATGCAAGAAAATGGTGGAAAGGAGAAATAGTTAGAAAACACAGGTCAAGCAGCACTCACCCCCTTATTGGCAGCGATGCAGCATTCAGCCAGCCGTAACCACAAGCGAGGATTTGCATGGTAAACTTGAACGGCTTCGATCAGACACTCGAAGGCAGCAAGAGGCCTCCTGATGTGAAGAAGCTGAATCCCACAGTTATACAGCAACTCGTACCTCTTGTTGGTTAGTAAAGTACACATGGGTCTTCCTGAAAATTTTTTGCCTAGTGATAAAAATTTGATGAACACAGATTAAAGTAACAGTTTCGGGGCCGGGAGATGGCTTAGTAGGATAAGCGCTTGACTGGCAAACTCAAGGATCTGAGTTCAATCCCCGGTTCCGCCAAAAAAAAAAACAAACCAAAAAACAAAAACAGTTTCATTAAAGATACTTATTCTAGTACGTACTTTATCTCTACCATGTTTAATAAGAGTGGCCACAATCTTAAATTGCAACAGATTTCACTAGTGTCAAAGTCCAAAGATATTCCCCAGTCATCTCAATTGTCTCTGCTGGCAGGGCCAGAGGTGTCTGCTCCTCTGGCAGCTCCACAGGCAGCACTACTCTGGGAAAGCAGAGTACGAGATAGGAGCCTCTCACAAAGAGTTCAGTCTCATTTTTAGCTTAACTACTTTATGAACATGTGTGCTCACTTATTCAATGATTCATCATCTGTAGTAAGGCCATTTGTTATTCAGAATGTGTATGAGTTAAATATGTCTTATTATCTTTAGAATTAGACAACTGACCTATTTTAAGCTGGGATGACAAACATGCATCACCATGCCCAACAGAAATATTAATTTTGGGGCCGGGGAGATGGCTCAGTAGAATAAGCGCTTCCCTGGCACGGGCAAGGGTCTGAGTTTAATCCTTGGTTCTGCCAAAAAAAAAAAAAAAAAAAGACAGAAAGAAAAAAAGAAATATTAATTTTGACTAATCAAAGATGATGTGTAACATTATCATGCAGGAGTACTGACATTAAATGCATGAAAAAAGTGAACTTAAAATTTTTTTTGTAATTAAAAATGATTCCTGCCGGGTATAGTGGTGCATGTCTATAATCTAAGTTCTCAGAAGACTGAGGCAGAAGGATTACTGTGTCTGGGGTACACGCTGAGTTCTGAACTACACAGCAAGACTGAAAAATTCTGTCTCACAAAAAAACAAGAGGGGGGCTGGTGAGATGGCTCAGTGGTCTAAAGCACCTACTGAGTATAAGCTAAGCTAAGCAAAGCACAGGGACCATGGTTCAATCCCAGCACCACATGCCAGCCTGCCCCGCCCCCTGGTGGGCTGAGCTGGCCACACACACACAAAAAATAAACACATTTAAAAAAAAAAGAAAAATCAAGAGGGCTGGGGTGATAGATCAGTAGAATAAGCACTTCCCTGGTAAGCGCAAGGTCTTGAGTTCAATCCCTGGTTCCTCAAAAAAAAA